CTGAGTCGTCAAAATAGCGAGGAAAAAAAGGGAGGAAAAAATTAAGATGACTGGGAAGCTGCTGGAGAAGCATAGGAGCAGATTCACTTGGAATTCCACTCCTAGTGCTGTGGCTTAGGATGAACTTGCAGTCGACTTTACAACTGCTGAATGCCCAGCGAGGAGGAAAACAAATTGTCATTTACTGTCGTCATGCGTTTTTTAATGGCACTTGTGCTACAAACAAAGAGCTCTGGACGCAGAGAGGAAAAATCCTATCCCGAATCCCTCTGGGCTTCCCTAGACACATGCAGACGAAAACACGTGCGCACGTAGCACGTCTCGTCTCAAAGCGTGTTGTCCTGGCGGTAGCAGCTGTCCAAGTTGAATCACTGGACTTGTGCTCAGCTCATGCTGAAATGGGTCCAAGCTGTTTACGGGACTGACCGGAGAAATTCGGAGCTGGCTCCTCTGCAGCTGCAGGCGAAGCAGAAAGCCCAGCGCAGCCTCGGGTGGCTCCAAGGGCAGCGTTTTCTGCACGTTGGTGGGTGGGGACCACACCGAGCCCTCTCGGGTTGCTTTCGGGGCAGCAAAGCTTTTTAGACCTCTCTTAAATAACATCCTTGTTTTGCACAATGAGGGGAAAATCCTTGCTGTCGTATCTGAGAACTGTGCTGTAAATGCTGCAGGTGCACAGTTAGCCAGATAACTAGTGGAAAATAAGGAAAATAATGGTTTTCATTGACTGAATGTCTGCAGAAGTTTCATAAAGTTGACATCTTGCAATGAAGTTCATATCCACAGCCCACCCACTCTGTATCCTCATTTACAAATCACCAGCAGAGTTGGTGCTCTGATATCAGCTTTTCAATAGCTGGCTGCCACTTGAGTGTAATTTTATTACACCGGGAATCAAACTTTCCTTCTTATTACAGCGCCGATGCTTGGAAAAACAATTGCCTCCTTTCTGATTTTTCCTTTTATCCACAAGTGGGGCGGCTGTAGCTGCGTGCTCGGTGTTACTCAGAGCTCTGTGATGGAGGAGACGCGGATCATCAGCATCCCGCTCCCCTCGCGCGTCCGGAGCTGAGCATTCAGACCAGCAGGCCCCACGAGATGAAGGGCGTTGGAGGATGTTGGATTGTTGCTTCTCTAAATTGGACTAGCTGGAACAAGTCTGGCTCGTGGGACGACGGGAGTCTGGTCTGGGAGGTGGGGAGTGGCCAAAGTAGGTGGAATTAGCGGGCACTTGGTTCATGTTTGCAGCTCAGAAACTTTTAATCTAGTTGTTTGGGTCACTTTCAGGGATTTTTTTTTTTTTTTACCTTGTTTTTTGGGACAGAAATTGATGTGGGGGAGAGATTGCTTTGGCAATGCTGTCGTCCTGCCAGTGATTTGTTGTTCCTTTGGTACATGGTGTTCCCTTTTTCTTCTCTTTTATTTTTTTCTTCTGATCAGGTTGGCTGGTTGGGCTGAAGGATGCCCTGCACAGTCTCCCTTCTTGGAGAGGGAGTGAGGCAGGGGGCATTTAGGTGCTAAAATGTCCTCTTGATCATCTCATTGCTGGTGCCTCTTACGAGGCCCTGCAGGAACACACTCACATAGAATTACTTGGGTCTGGAAGTTCAGTTGTTAGACTAATAATAAAAGTCCTTCCTTTTCTGTGGAAAAATGCTTTTCTGAGGCATGGGAATCCTTTAGTCAATGTTCCAAATTTCCAGTGAAAAACACTTTTGAACAAGAATGTCTTGGCGAACTAGGCAGTTCTTTGTGGCTTGCAGCAGCTTTTCGGTCCACAGAGAAACACAACCAAAATGCTATCTCATTCCTGTCTCCTGGAGGGGTTCCTTAGTTCTCTCTTGACAGAACTTGAGATTCGAAGCCTGCCAGACTGTATTCCTGGTAGGCCTGGGCCACACAAGGAAGCAGTCTGTGGTGGTGTGCGCTCCAAAACATTTCTTCCCCAAAATATCGATAGTTTTGCGTCAGATCATCTTAGGAAATGAACATCCCTTGGCAAATTGCAAATCTTTCTTTTCTTAGTTTGCTTTCCTTACAAATGAGTTTAGGACTGAGGCTGAGTCTCTGGGTGTGTGGTGCCTTGTGGCAGAACAATCTGGAAATGAGAGCAGCACGGTGTGGCTGATGTTCCTCTCTTGGGTTGCCCAGGCAGCTGGCAGCAGATGTGACGGCTGAGCTGGAATCTCCTGAGTCCTGGTCAGGTGCATCAGCCACTACATTGTCCTGCCTCTCTGCTTTTTGGGAAAATGGTAGAGGGATAGGCATGGACACCCTTTTCCTCCCCCATGTGAGTTAAAGTGGAGCCGCTCTTTGGGAACAGAGGGATCATTCTGACATTCCTACTGCAACCTTTGCACTGTTATTCCTCTGTTATTCTTTTTATCACTCCATTACTCCTCGTGCATCCTCTGGCAGGGCTGGAAGGAGTCCTTTCAACTTGTCTCCTGCACTGAGCAAAGGAGTTGGTTTATAGAAATGGTTCTGAAGGGGAGAAGGGGGAAACAGCAGAATGAAGATCTGCATTGTGATCACTAAGAAAAAAAACAGATGAGTGGGATAAGAAGGGAAACCCCAAAGAATTAAGAAATCCTAAACTGAAGCATGGAGGGAGAAAGGAGCAATTACATTAACATTAATTTTGCATCTATTTCTGTGCACTTCCATTCATTTATATAAATAGCACTTGGCAATTCAGAGTGTGAAGCTGGTTGTCAGTGCTGGCGTGGCCTCTGTCACAGCTGGTGACAACCAGCAGCTCCTCTGCCACCTGAATCTCGATGGCAAGTTCTCCCACGACAGTTAAATCCAATATTCATAAGAAAATTTCTTTTCCTTTTACATCAAATGTCAGACTGACCTAAAAGTTGTTGTTTTAGTAAATTACCTCTGGACTCTCTTTTCTTTGGCAAGTTGGATGCAGGCCAGGGCTTGTTCATGATTCCAGTGAAACACAGCTCATGTTGTAGGGCTCTCTCTGGGTCTTAGAGCAGCCTACAAGAAGTCTGGCTTTATCACCTCTAATTTACATCTGGGGAATAGGACGGGGGTCCATAAACATCCCCTTGAAGATGGGAGTCTCTATGAGGAGATCTGCAGGGACTTCCCCACCTGGGGTGCAAAAACAAGGGACCAAGAGGGAGCAGCACTGATTGGGAAAGCCTTGGTTAGAGGTGGCAAAGGCAGTGGAGTCCCAAGGATTTAAGAGGCTTTCCTTTGTCTGCATGTGGAGCTGACTTGGGTGTGAAGAGGGCAATACCAATGAGAAATCCAGCTGGAGAAAAGCTATTCCTTGCCAGGTGGGTGGTTTTAGATAAACATTTTGAGGGCTGTGATTTCTGCTGCTGTACAAACCAGAAGTATCTACAACAGGGAGCGGTGGACCTCCTAGACATTGTTTTTCCGCTGTCCTCTGCGCTGCTCACATGCTGTACTTGCCTTTTCGGAGGAAAAGAGCCTCAAGTGTTCCGGGGGCAACCGGGGTATATTGTACCTTCCGCCCCCGAAAGGAGAAAAAGGGGGCAATCCCAGACAAACTGCTCTCTGTCTGATTGCTGAATAACCCGGAGTGCGTGGGGGTTCTGTGCAGATAATTCCTAATGACGCGCATTAGTCATCTCCTACTGCGGTTTGGGGCCGCGCTCCAGCTGTCTGGCTCCTAACGAACGTCCCGCTGCTGACAGCAGGGGCGAGCACAGCACTAATGCAAACAATGTGCACCTCGGGGAGGTGCAGGGGTGCTGATTCCTCTTAGCCAAAGCCAGAATTTGGGGAGAAATCCCACCGCTTTGTGGCTTTGTACAGAGGAGTAACCGGAGCACCAGCGCCTGGACGCTGTGGGGTTTCCTCATTGTTTCCTAACCCAACGGGTAAGAAAATGAGAGAAGTGAAAATAGTCCCTCTGATTACCCTCTGGCACGCAGAAGTGGGTGTCCTTCATTGTCCCTCTTTTACCTCGGGGGGGAAACTGAGGCAAAATAAGTGCCTCAAGTCTGGTGGGTGGATATGAGCGAGGCTGGAATGAGCCCCTCTTGGACCAGCACCAAAGGGAATAGGAGGCCCCTTGTGATGGTTTTTCCTGCCTTTATTGAGTGCAGAAGGGTTAATGCTGAAGTCTGAGGCTTTGTCCCAGGTGGTTTGTGAGGCAGCTGTGGATTTGGGTGGAAGAAGTGATCCAAAGGCCCCATCCCTGTGGTGTCTCAGCATGGGCAAAGCCGTCCTCCAGTTAGATTTGACAAGAGCAGCTTTAAAGCAAGCCACAGAGGTGGGGTCTGACCAGATACCATTTCTGAGGGTAGCTGAGTTTTGGGGAGTCTCTGAGTTTGATGCTGCTCTGGGGTTTTGCAGTGTGGCAGCTTTAGGTGTTTCAGCTCTCCGTGCCTCACGGGCAGGCAGGGAGGGGCAGGGCTGGCTCCTCTGCTGGCTCCCTGCCTGCCATCAGTGGCACTGACGCAGTGAAGGTGTCCCTCTGCCATTAGACAGCCTTCTCCACAGGCATTTCTCAGCTTGGACCCCAGTCTGATCAGCCCTCTGATTGTGCAGCAGCAAAGGGTGTTCAGCGCCTTCTGATCCTCTGAAACCGCTTCCATTTTAGGCCTGACGGCTTGTTTTCCTGCTCTCCGTGTGTGCTTTTATTACAAACAGCAGTCAGCTCTTCAGGGATCTCTGTATAAGATCATGATTCACCTCGCTTGGAAACACTTTTTCCATTTTTTTTCCAGCGTTTTCCTTAATCTAAACCAGCGCTCAGCGCTGCTTGCTCCAGCTCCGGGGGCCGAGCTTGGCCGAGCCCGCCGGGGTACGTGGTCCCCAGCCGAGCGGGCAGAAGCAGTTGCCCTTTTTCTCCCCTCAGTTGCCATCAGGGATTCCTCTGAAGCCTGGCAGCTGCGGCCTTTTCTCTTCGTGAAATTAGAAGTTTTGAGGAAGGAGCTAAAAATACCTCAAGGGAAGCCTGGAAAGATGGTGCTGGGTTTGTGGCCACTGCGGTGGTTTTGCTTTTTTCCTTTCGGGGGCGTATGGCAAGAAAGAGTAAAATACCATTTGTTAGCAGGGCTGGAGGAAATGCCGGCCCGAGCGTTTTTGGAGGAGAAATTTATTCTAGAAACGAAGGGAATGACTGTGGTATTTCCTGTCGGGGTTGTCGCTTATTTTGTTTGTGTCGCAGCAGGGTCTGCAGGCGCCAGCCGGGACGTGGGCTCCTCCGTGCCCCGTGTGGTACGGAAATGCACGTGGAGAGGGAAAGTTGCTCACTACACACAACCCAGGAGACCAAACACCTAAATTTTGTGCTTCTCTCTACCACTCTCCTGCTTCACAGAGTGAATCAGAGAACGGTTTGGGTTGGAAAGAGCTTTAAAGTCCAACCCTTCTGCGGTGGGCAGGGACATCTTTCACTAGATCGGGTTGCTCAAGGCCTCATCCAACCCGGCCTTGAATGCTTCCAGGGATGGGGCATCCACGGCTCCTCTGGGCAACCTGTGCCAGTGTCTCATCAACCTCAGCACAGGAAATTTCTTCCTTATATCCAACCTAAATTTAGCCTCTTGCAGTTAAAAACTGTTGCCTTTGTCCAGTCGCTACAGGACCTGGTAAAAAGCTTTTTTCCATCTTATAAATCCCCCTTAATATATTGAAATGCTGCAATAATGTCTTCATGGAGCCTTTTCCTCTCTGTGCTGGGCTTTTCTCTTCCCTTTGTGCCTCGGTTTCCCTTGTTTGCTCCGTTACCTGCCTCAGCTCTCCCAGTGCTCCATGAAACCATCGCTGAAATGCTCTGCCAGAGTTCAGGGTTTAAGGCTGGTGTGTGTCACTGGCCTTACCCATCTCCTCCACTGTGTTTAACACCAGCCCTTCTTGGGTGTCTTGGCTTGTTCTCCTGCACCAACAAATGCCCTCTTGATTGAGGGGGAACAGGGCTGCCCTTAACCTCACTCAACATCTGATGGCAGGGAGGGTAAATAGTACAACTCGGGTTGTGTGAGGAGGATTCACTGTCTTCATTCCTCACAAAACTGCAGAAGTGAGTACAACCCGCCAGCCTCCACCACCCACACCTCTTCCACCTCAACATTTGCACGCAGTGTTGAGGTCCTTACAGAGAAGGTGCTGGCCCTGCCTCCCCCTTGATGGTGCATTTGAGGCCCTTTGGGTCCAGTGCTGCAAGAGATTTTACTCCAGCACTTGGCAGTGCCCCAGGCTCCCTGTGTAATCTTAAACCAGTTGCTCCGAACCAGATTTCCATGGGTGTAAAAAATCACAGCCTGCTCCAGCGTTTAGGAAGTGCTTTGCATCCCCTGAGACTTCCTAGTACTTTGGGCACTGCCCACTCTTATTTTTTTTTTTTAAAAAAGGAAAAAAGTATTTGTTGCTGATAGCAGTGATGAATTCACAGCTTGAGCTGTGGGTCAAAAATGTGAGGAAGCCGGGGCAAGACTGAAAAATAAAGCAGTAACCAGCTTCTCAGGGTAATAAATATGTATTTATCCCTCTTGCAAATGCTTGAGAGCTTAAGGTCTTGATTTCTCTGAGAGATCCAAGAGGTCAGTTTGTTTTATATGAAAAAAAAAAAAAATTATGTAATTAAGAAATGAAGTGGGTTTTCATTCCCCTGTTGCAGCTGGGGTGTTTGCAGCTCTGCTCAGAAGCAGAGCAGAGCAGTGTGGGGCAGCTGGCGTCCTCCTGCTGGCTTCGAGCCACGGCACATCAGCCTTGTTGTTGATGTAGAAGAAAAGGATGCAGCAGGGTCGTGGCTCATTTTTTTTCATTTTCTCCTCTCTCTCTCTCTGGAGCTTTAGACGAGTGTTCTGACATTTTCCAGCCACAAGCTGTTTGTCAAAACTTATTTGTCTGTGGAATTTGTGTTGCTCAGCACAAGCAGGCAGCTTGTGCCGTGTCCCAGCTCGCTGCAGCGTTCAGGGCTGTGCTGAAAGTGAAACCTGTGTTTTGAAAGGTTTCCTGCAGCGAGGCCGGAGCTGTGAGAGCTTTTCCCTTTCCACGTCCTGCTCCTCTGTCAGGAGAAACCTCGAAAGTTCCTTGCCCTGATTTTTTTCTCTTACTTTAGAGAAGAGCTCTCTGGTGAACCCACACTGGGTCAATTTGCTACCAGCATCAAGGAGGGATGAGCCAGCCAGGAGTGTTCAGAAAGGCACAAGCAAATAAAAATTGTCATAAAAGAGTCTGTACCTCTTATTTTCTAACAGAGATAATCCAAGGTGGCAATCCCACCTGTATTTGCCTGCCTCTCCAGAATGATGTAGACCTTCAACACTAGGATGGTTATGGTCATCTTTTCTCCTTTTGAATTTTAGGCTGGTTTAGAAGTAATTTGGTATTTTTACACATGTTGGGCCTGGTTCTAGAAATGAACCTGGAGTTTGTCCAAACGTTGTGGGTCTGGAGAACTGGGCTCTAGACACCGAGGTGATGTAACTGCCTGTTTAGCACAGGCCTGTAACACTGCTGGAGTGCCCCATTTGGTGACTGTCCCAGCGCTGGTTCTTCCCAGCCCTTCCTGAAGCACAGAAAATGCCATGAGCAGAGACAAAAAGTATGCATTTCGGGTGATCCAACATGTTTACCCTGAATCTGCTGGGGTTTTTTGTTGGTTTGTTTTGGTTTTTTTGGTTTTTAAGCTTTTCAACAGAATCGCCTCCAGCCTTGACTTCCTGAACTTCAGTGGGTGTTTGCAGAACTGGAGGAGCTGTCAGTTTAAAAATAAACCAAAGGGCGCCCATCCAGCTCATTCTCCTGGTCAGAAACAAAGCTGTTTCGCTGTGGCTCTGCTTTGCCTCTGTGGGGATGGAAAGTGTGCCTTCACATGCTGGCAGCCCAGGCCCAGAGATAAAGTCCTGTGCTCAGGAAGGGCTGTCACCCACCCATTCTGGGATTATCCCAGTGAGATGCCGGCAGGACCAAGCCCTGCCTGGGGTTACACCTCGGAGGGAGGCGGCCCCGCACTTTTGTACTCGATGAGGAAAAAACTACTGATTGAGGAGGTTTTTGTGCACTAGTAGGAGCAGAGTGCTGGTTAACTGAGGTGGCTAAACCTGGTCTGGGAAGTAAAGAGGGTTTTGATCTGCCTCGGAGACCATCAGAAAGTCCTGGAACGATCCAAGGGGTGCTAGAAGGATGCTTGGCTTAGGCCTGGTCTGAGAAGCTGAATGAATGAAAAGGTCTCAATTGCTGCTAAATATGCACAAATAGAGGATAGGAGAAGTAGCTTTTACTAGTCCCTGGACAGCTGAGTGCCCAGTCTGCCTGTGACTCCACTGGCTCTTCATTGGGCAAAGTTAGTGTTTTCTCTTAGGATGATTAATGGGTCAGTTCAGGGTGGGCATTTACTATGTATAGTGTAGCGGCCCTGATACACTTTGCATTTTGTAGGTCCTAACAAAATAACAGCCACCCCTACAACCATCCCAGCACTGCTGGCTTTTAAAATTCAAGGCTGTCTCTCCACCTCCATTAGGGGATGCTTGCTTTTACTTCTTAATTTTTTGCCTCAAATATTCCTGTGTTCTAGTAAACATCCTCTGAGCTTTGGTTTTTGGATTTCCAATGGAAAAGTACTAGGGTGAAACCATGGGAAATGCTGAAGATGGACAGACATCAGACACTTGACATGTTGGCCTCTTTGATAATAGTGCCTTGTTCCCAAATGAGTCCAGAGCACTCACAATTTTCCACTTCATGAAAGCATTTTATTAAAACTAACAGTGGTACAGGTGAGTGTCTTCTTGTTTACAGAAGACCTTGTGTTTTGACATGCACATTTATCAGCAATGTGGAATGTCCCTAAGGTCTGTGAGTCCAGCAGGCAGCTTTGCCCTAAATAAACCAAATGCCTATTGAAGTTAGGGGAGTCTCCTTGAGAGCTTTGGATCTGTGTGTCAGTCTGGGCTGCATTTTGGGACCTCACCATTTTCTGCTTTTTTGTTTCAGCTGCGAAATGTCAGGATCAAGTTTGAATATGAAGGAGAGAAAAGGTAGGTACCCAGCACAGTCCCCTACATGTACAGGAACAAATTACCTTTTTTACCCAACGTCATCTTGCTGACTTCAGCGAGCTGCAGATGAGCTCACAGCAGGATTCGTTCCCCTAAAATCAGCTAGGGTTTTATATGCAAGAGCCTTGCCTCGTTATCCCATTTGTATCCACAAGTAGCTCCTGGGATTTGCACACAGGAGAAGTGGTTCCAAGCTGGAAGTCATTAAATGCCTCTTTTACAAGGGACATAGGGTGCATGCTTGGATCCTTTTCTCTTTTTAATTCTTGAGCCCTGCTGAACCACAGCAGGGCTGGAACTCTGCAGAAATGTGTCCTTTGATTAGCAGTCCATGACACTTACTTAAGATAACCAGATTTTGGGCATGGGTCCCATAAAAATAGGGCTGGGAGTTAAAGCTTGTCCGCCCTTCCCTGCTTGACATTTTCATGGAATCACCTCTGCTTGGTGCTTGGTGACTGTGACAGGGCAGGACACAGGCTGATGGTCCAAGCTGCATGTTAGAGCCAAAGAAAATTTAAATTACTGTAGGGATAGGCTGTACCTGCTTTACATACCTTTAGAACTGCTGCATGTGATGGTACAGGACGGTCATGGGATGCCAAACTGCATCATTCCCACTTCCATCCTTCCTCCCTGTTCAGAGCCCCTTGCTGAAAATGGAGATGATAAATATTACTGACCAGTGCCTGATATGGCTTTTCTCCAGTGAAGGTCTGCTGGAGACTTTCTTTTCCACCTGTACCTCACATTAGAGAGAGGGACAGAGAAGCTGAACTGGGATTTTTGGGAGGTGTTCTTGCAGGGTAGGTCAAGTACCCTCTTGGGCACTGCAGACGAGCATCATTTCTTTGAGTGTAGAAGCAAGGACCAGGGTTTATGCTTCATGATAGACCACATGTCCTTTCTTCTGAATCGTCACTCAAATCCCAAATTTCAGTATGCTTCTGCTAAATCGAGACTGTTGTTTTATTTGTTTGCATATACAGGATTATCCAGTTTCCAAGACCAGTCAAATTCAAAGAAGTGGTGCAGAAGGTCACGGATGCTTTTGGACAGACAATGGACTTAGTCTGCGTGAACAATGAGGTAATCTTCTTCCTTCTCCTATGGGGCAGGTTTGGGGTGCCTGGTGCCAACTTCACAAGTAAGCAGTGGTTTGTTCTGAAGGCCCTAATGTTGTGCTGTGCTTCCATGTGAACAAAAACAATCTTATTTTGCGGTTCCCGGCTGGTGAGCGTACACGGATCGACACGGCCCAGATGGATTCTTTAAACTCCAAGCCAGACTTTTCCCTTCTCAAAGTAAGGCCTATTTCAAGTGAGGCCTATTAAGTAGTCACACTGGAACACTGTCTTTTCCCCAGAAAAGAAGATTCCCCTCACTGAAACGGGAATATGAAGCCTTCCCATCCTGGGGGCAGCTGCAGGAGTGTGCAGTCCAGAGCAGAGGGACAGTGCTGCTCACACAGTGTACTTTGATCTAGCACTGACTTTGGTTCCCCCCAAAGCCCCAGAACGACGTGGATGTTCTTGTGGCTGGGGCTGCAGTGAAACGTGCATCACTGAACGTTCCTCTAGCAGGTCCTGTGGCCACATAAAAGCAGCCAAGAAACCCTCCCCCTGAGATCCTTGCATTTTAGGGCTTGAAGACCTTTTCCCTCCATCCTTCTTCACAGCAAGAGGCCACTGTGTTTTTCCAGCTTTTCCTTTGAGCCCAGCAGTGTGTGAATGGAGGGTATTGCTGAGGGCTGTTACCTAGAAGGGGGAAATCCTTGGCATCTGTTTTAATGTGCTCAGTGTTCTCTTGAGGCACCTTGCCATAAGCTGGGCAGGCATCTCGAGCTACTGGATTCTCAAGGTGGGTTTGGCTTTGGGGAGGAGGAGGAGGAGGCCAGATGACAAAGAGGTGGGCTTTTAAACACAAATCCTTTTGGATCTGTCCCAACAGCTTGCTTGTTTAGTGGAAGTATTAATTGCAAATGACCTACAGCCTTTCATCGAAGTATGAATGGAGGGAGAGGTCACGAACAGAGCTTTCTTCTTTTTTTATTTTTTTCCCCTTTCTTTTTTTCCTCACTTCTGTTTCAATAGAGATTTGATCCACAGAAAAAAAAAGATCTTTTTTCTTTATAATAGCTACCTTATGATACCAGAATGTCCACTGGGTTTTCACTTTGAAGGCAGTCGGGTTTCTAATCTTGGGCATTCTTTGACAGCCCTCCCGGGAAAAGCCTGCCATTGAATTCTCCAGGAATGACTCATTTCATTCCAGGTTTCTTTCCACTGGAAGAGGATTTCTTTCCAACAACAGCAAACAGAAGCTTAAATAATGCATTTTATCCCGCTTTGGAGACCATCTTTCTGGCCATGTGCACAGGCACATAGCAGGACCATGAGCAGGCCTTTGGGTTCTCCTGACTTCTGAGGGTTGTGGGTGATTTTCAGTGCTGTGTTTTACTATATATAAAAATTCCTCCTTGTGAGAACCCACAGCTTTGGGAAGATGTCTGAGACGTAGTAATTCAGGGTTGTTGCTGTGGAAACACTATAAACAGACAAGAGTGATGTGTGGGGAAATAGCCTACACGTCCACATGGTGACACCTCAACATCTGGCTCTTAATGTCTTCTGCGCCGGGTTTTCGGGGTTTATCATGACTGCAAGTCTCAGGGGTAGCTTTACCACAGACTCATTACAGTTAAATATTTCACCCTTTCTTTATGCTCGAAGGCACTTGTGCTGTAATTCTTTGTTGCCATCGGACACCTCTCTTGCAGTAGCACCTTGCAGGCCAAAATCACCCTGAGGTGAACAGGCCCCTGCAAAATCTCACTGACTGGCAGTCCCTGTCCTGGTGAAGGAGGAGCCCTGAGGCCAAGATCAGTGGGATGAGCATGCCAGCTGGGTGGAGCAGGGGCACGCATGAATCACATCCTGGTGGGACCATGGAATCAGCAGGCTCGGGTTGCTGTAGATAAGAGCAGGGCCTGGCCATGGGTGTACCATATGGGCATGTCTGCCTGTTAGTTCTAGGCTGGGCTCATCTTTCTGAGGTGCAGGAGAACAAAACCTGGCCCGGCCACGGACAGCACGGCGTTGTGTTTGTTGGACAGCTGGCTGTGTGATGGATTGAAAGGCTCTAACGCTCCCATCCAAGCTGTAAAGGTCCTGGGTATCTAATTTGGGACTGTAAAATCTACAGGATAGCAGGATGCACTAAACTTAGCTATTGCAGTGCCCTTTTACAGACCTACCTTTTAGCATCTTGAAGCTGGGTGTCTGAGGTAGGCCATAAGCTCAGGACCACCTGCTTTCCACAGCTCCATGAGCTTGGCTTTCTTGATGGGACGTTTTTGGGCCCTTCACTACAGGAAGGATACTGAGGTGCTGGAGCATGTCCAGAGAAAAGGCAATGGAGTGGGGAAAGGTCTGGAGCACAGGTCTGATGAGGAGCAGCTGAGGGAGCTGGGAGGGGTTTAGCCTGGAGAAAAGGAGGCTCAGGGGAACCTTATCACTCTCTACAACTTCCTGAAAGGAGTGGGGAGCCAGGTGGGGGTCAGTCTTTTCTTCCAGGTAACAAGGGACAGGATGAGAGGAAACAACCTCAAGTTGCACCAGGGGAGGTTTGAGTTGGCTATTGGGAAAAAATTCCTTCACTGAAAAGGTGGTCGAGCACCAGAACAGGCTGCCCAGGGCAGTGGTGGAGTCACTGCCCCTGGAGGGATCAAGAGACGTGTAGATGGGGCACATGGGGACGTGGTTTAGTGGTGAAGTTGGGAGTGCTGGGTTCTGTGGCAAATTCTCTGTCTGAATTTGATCTCTGTGCACTAGTAACAGCTAAATAGCTGCTCCAGGTGTGACTAGGTGTTTCCTTGTCTGTCTCCACGACCAACCTGCGATGTGACTTGGGCCACCATTTCCCTTCTGAGCTCCCCGTGCTTGTCTCCTCTGAGGCTGTCCCTCAGCACCGGTTAGGTTAGGGAGAGTTAAAGCCTGGGGAAGTGGTAGAGGCTCCATTACGGTGGGGGGAGGAGATAAAAGCATATTTAACAAACATTTGTCGAGAATTGTTGATGCCAGTTGGTGCTGCATTGGGCAGGAAGATGAACTAATTGACCTCCCAGATTTTTCCCCAACCCTGTTTCCTACTATTCTTTGGCTTTCTGCGGTGTCTTACAGAGTGAGGTCTGGCAGCTCTGTTGCAGTCAGTGAAAACTCACCCTTTGCACTCACTTTCTTAACCTGCAGTGACTACCAAGCCCCACACTAAACATCAGGCTCTAGGGGAAGGTGCTGTTTAAAAGCAAGAAGAAAACATAATAAGCTCTACCTAGCGAAACTTCTGTGTAGGTAAACTTTGCTGTTCGTCACAGCTGCTCTCTCTTTAGATCAAATAAACCCAGTTACTGGAAATACACCCTGGCAATTACTGCCATGGTTCTGCATGAGTCTGTATTGAGTTTCATGCCTAGCAGATACCTGTTCCCGATATCCATATGTGCCACAGCCTGGAAGCCAAATGGAGTGAAATCTTCTTGCCAGATATGGGTAGTAGGTAAAGCCAAGCTAAATACTGGCTCCAGTCCCTTTTACAAGAGGGCAGTTTCTGCCTGATGTTTTTGGCTGCTCTGAAGCAGGCACACAAACATGTTCATGTTGTGATAGTTGAGTGAGATGGAGTGACCTGCAGAACATTCTGTTCAGAGGGGTTGCTCTGAGCACTTGTGAGGAGCTCAGTAAAGAGATGGGTAAGCAGTGGGACTGTACTTACAGTTCAGATTTGAGGTCTGCCTGGTGGTGAAATGAGGGAGAGCAGCTCTCCATCATCCTCATTCTGTTTGGGTGAGTGTAGGGGAGAAGCCTTTCTGCTTGGTGCAGAGCCTTGCTGTGGAGCCTTTGTGAACTTCAAGAGGGTCGGGCAGTGCCCCAAGAGAATATCTCTTCACCTCTACTGCCTAAGGGAGCGGAGTAAGCTCTGCATTTGGGAGAAGTATTCAGTACTGTCTTTGTCTGGTATCTGCTGTGAACATGGAATGTTCATTCAGATCCCATGGGCTTTTGTCCCAGGTGACAGATGACAGGATGGGAGGAAATCCCAGAATGGGTCAGGTTGGAAGGGATCATAGTGGGTCTTCTGGTCCAACCTCCCTGTTCAAGTAGGGTCATCCCAGAGCACATGGCACAGGATTGTGTCCAGATGGTTCTGGAATATCTCCAGTGAGAGAGACTCCACACCCTCTGTGGGCAATCTGTTCCAGTGCATGGTCACTGCACAGTAAAGAAGTTCTTCCTTATGTCCAGGTGGAACTTCCTATGCATCAGTTTCTGCCTATTTCCACTTGTCCTGTCGCTTGGCAACACCAGAAGAGCCTGGTTCATAGTCTGACCCCTCCCTGCAGACACTGACAGACATTGGTGAGGTCCCCTCTCAGTCATCTCTTCTCGAGGCTGAACAGCCCCAGCTCCCTCAGCCTTTCCTCATGAGAGAGATGCTGCACTGATCAACCCTGTAGCCTCTGCTCAACCTGCTCCAGGAGCTCCATGTCTCTCTTGGACTGAGGAGCCCAGAACTAGGCACAGCATTCCAAATGTGGCCTTACCAGGTCTGAGCAGAGGGGCAGGATCACCTCCCTCAGCCTGCTGGCAATGCTCTTCCCATTGCATCCCAGGATACCACTGTCCCCCTTGCCCCCAGGACACGCAGCTGGCTCAGGGACAGCTTGTTGTCCACCAGGACCCCCAAGTCCTTTTTCACAGAGCCATGGCCTCAAATTGCACCAGAGGAGCTTTAGATTGGACATTAGGGAAAATTTCTTCACCAGAAGAGTTGTCAAACAGTGGAACAGGCTGTCTAGAGAAATGGTGGAGTCACTGTCTCTGGAGGTATTCAAAAGGCATGTAAATGTGCTGTGTAGGGACATGGTCTAGTGATGGATTTGGCAGTGCTGGGTTGACAGTTGGACTCATTGAGGTCTTTTCCAACCTAAATGATCCCACGACGATGATGTTAAGCCTGACGTTCATCATGAAATAGCTGGCCCTCCTATGGCTCAGTTCTCTACCTACAAAACAGGGGTGGAAGATAACCTTCCTATCAGACAGGAGAGGAGAAACTCAATCCAAACCTTGAGGTGCTCGCAGGGTAGAAAGAGCTGCCACACAGACACCTAAGGTGGAGCTTGGCAGGCTCAGGCTGCAGTCCTTGGGTGGAAGAAGTGACTGTAGCCGTTCCCTGAGGTGAAACCTCATCTCTGCTGGCCAGGGGCCACAACTTTCCCTTGACCTGGTCATCCCTGAAGTCCTCACCTCAGAGCACACAGTCTTGAGGTGTATTTGCCTGTGGCCAACAGCCAAACCCTCGGCAACACCCTGGGATCAAAAAGGTTGTCACAGTTGGCTTTTGAGAGTTGTCTCCTGTGGCAGCTGCCCTGAGGTGTGTTTGCTGTGGCTGGTGGCGTGAACCCTCATCACACAGAGGGCTGAGCTGCCTTTCAGGAGTTCTGGGAAGCTGTGGCTGCCTGTAAGACCAGGGAGGGCCTACTGGGAGCTGTGGCTGCTCGGTCCCTTTGGTCAGTGGAATTCCTGTGTACTTTGGCACAGCCATGAGTGTTGCATGTGCTGTGTCGCCTGGATCCAGTGCCAGTGCCTGAGGCAACCTGCAGGGGCTGAGCCCTGTTTGTTGTGAGATTAGGCAGAATATCCCTCAATGAGGGGCAAGAAGTTGTGCTTTTAATCTTAGCCCAGGGCAGCAGAAGGCCACAGAGCTCCTCTGAAGTGCAGCTGTTGGACATTGGAAGCTTTGCAGACTGTCTGCAGGACATGGTACACCACACAGCAATGTCGGGAAGGTCAAAGTCCCCATGGAGATATGAGGGCAATAGTCTGCCACTCACCAGGAAAACATCAGGACCTTCAGCTGCCTGGTAGACACAGCACTGTGTAGTTCTCTGTTCTATTTACCTTATGAGGAGCAGAAGCTGAATTTGTCCTGCTAGGAGTGAAAGGAGTGGTTCTTGGATGGAGAGCAATGCACTCTTCTCACATCAAAAGGGAAGAGGCTCTTATTTGTGGGGTGTTCCTGGATTTTACCTGGTGGCCAGACATTACGGAGGCTCTGTCAGTGTGATGGCAGCAGCAGGGAAGGGCATTGAGGAATCTACCACAGTAAATCCTTGAGTGCAGATCACTGCATTCTTGGAGCACCACTGCATGACCATCTTCCCAGGAAGAAACCCTAGGAGAGCGTGTGGGGTTGTTTTGGGCCTGGGTAGCAGCAGGTCTTTCCTACAGACTCCAAGATCAGAGCAGCCCCAGAGTAGCAGGCAGCGAGCCTAAGGTTTCATCCCAGCCCTCTCCTCTTCTCACTGGCTGGATTGCTGATGTGACCTTTAAGCTTTCTCCTTGCAGATGTTGTTTGTTGTGATTTTTTGCGTCTGTTCCTGGGTAGATGAGAACTTGGAAGAAAATGTTAAGAGCTCGGCAAGCTGGAGGGCAGGGGGGCTCCGTTTTCCACCGCCTTCTTGGGTTCCTCCCTCATCCCCCTATTCCCAGGCTGCTCACTGTAAGAATCCGGCTTCCTCTGTTTACCCAAAAGTGTGACATTGCCATTCCCCGGTGTTTGTTTAATCCCTTCCAGCTCCTGATCCCGCTGAAATCCCAGGAAGATTTGGACAAAGCGCTGGAACAGTTGGAGCTGAGCCCTTCCCTGAAGAGCCTGCGGATCCTTGTGAGCGCTCCAAAGAAAGCGAATGTGAGCCCTTCACCTTCTCTGCTCTTTTGTGTCCGGAGCGAGATGCCTTGTTATTGTGCTGGGGAGTGGAAAAGAGTCTCCTGGCGGTGAAGAGCAGAGGGCAAGATGGTCATGAGGGGGGTCAGCCCTGCTCTGGCTCAGCAGCTCGGAAATACTCCTGTCATAGTAGCCCAGAGGCCGAGCTCAGCTCCCTTTGCCTTCTCCAGCATCCCATGAAGGGTTAAATATCAGACTGATCCTCAAATAAGGTTAAACTCTGAGAGGACCCTTTGTGCTTTCCACCTGGGGATGCTGCCATTCCTTTGTCCCTTCTCTGTGTTCAGGGTGATGCCCTGGCCCTTGCCATGCTGGGTGGCGGTGTGGGGACTGTTCCCTCCATGTGCTGCTGCAGTACTTAAAGCTGGGAAGAGCAAACTGGAGAATGCTTCAGTCTCTTTTTTTTTTTTAATCTTTATTTATTTATTAGTTTTTCCTGAGCTCAGTGGTTTTGCAGTTAATCCTTTTAGCTTGACCTCGCCTGCACAGAGTGTCTTGCCAAAGCACATGTCGTGCTGCCCCAAGCACAGGCTGTAAAGCAAGGGATTTGTAGATGTTGCAACTCTTGTTTCTTCTTATATTTCCTAGAAGTACTGGAGAGATTTGGAGTCTTGAAACTCACAGTGCTTGTCCTCGTGCTACTACTGGTGCTCACAGCCCCTGGAAATTCTCCATTCCTTTTGAGAGGCTTGGAAAGTGCAGGGACCTGCTTCCTGGGGGAAAGCTGAGCCATCAGCTGGGGTTTCCTAAATCCTGGGTGGAAATGGGGCAATCTGCCCTGGCAACTGTGGGAACACAGCAGTATTGCAGGGCAGCTTCTAAGAGCAGAGAAGCCAGGTAGATTCCTGGGTACCTCTGAGAGTAGGTCTATCTCTTCCTGAAGCTCCTGTGTGTAGGAACACACGGTTCCAAGGTCATGAAAATTACATGAAATTACCACAAAACCTGCGCATCCTGTAGAGTGTTATCTCAGTAAGACTTGGCCGCTGCCATTTAAGTTATCATCTGGATATGCATTTCTTTGCTCTTCTCTTATCTGCCTTCCCTGGCAGAGCCTGACCCTCTGTAGAAATCTGTTCCTCTGCCCTGTTACAGAGGAACCTCTGCAGTGCCTAGGCTGCCACTGGAGTCTAGGGAGCACGGAGGAGAGGTTCTGATTTTGGGATTCCAAGTGTTTTCAGGCCAGGGATCAGTCTCTGTATCTTTCTGGAGATAATGGGGTGCAGGGGCAGTTTTTTTATGTCAAATATCTGTATTTGCCATTATCTGTTGGAGCTTAATCTTAATCTTACTAGACTGTTTCACAAACAGATGTGAATTGTTTGTGAAGGGTTTTGGATCACTTCAGTTTACGTGCGTGTCTTCTTCCTTTATTTTTTTTTATTCAATAGTTCTTGGGTAATAGGGTCACGGGGAGCCAAACACAGGGTTTCACATGTCCACGGGGCTCCGGCCAAGTCTGATCCTTCCCTTTGTCTGATTACCAGCTCCTCCAGCCAAACAACAGCAAACAGCACGAAATGAGGATCTCCAGGTCCATGGGTGATATCATGGGATCCCTGTACAAGGACTCCGAGAGGACGCGCAAATACTCCACAGGTGGGTGAAACGCAGCACTCTGTGGGGTGTGCTGTGCTGCTGCGGGCTGGCCACCGCCCCCTTTCCCCTTTTTGTCACAGCCCTGTGGCTGTCACAGTCTGGGTGGCCACCCTCACCAGTGGCTCAGTGCAGTTGCTGCTTATCCTCAGCCTGAGGAGGACACTCTGCGAGCCGCACAGGTTGGACGAGCTGTGCTGAGCAGAGTCACGTTGGGCGCGACAGTGAGGAGAACAGGGGGCCTGGGGTGTGGTTTGGGGAGGGGGGGAAATGCAGGGATAAAAATTTCCCATGAATTTGGTGCCACTGAGCTTCATCAAAACGAAGAGAGAGGATCTACAGGAAGCCAGGGATGTTTGGGACCTCGACATAGTTATTCCTCTAATCCTGGGCTGTCGTGCTCTTGGTGTGTGTCCCCCTTTCCCAGCTGGCAGAGTCGTGTATCTGTATGGGCTTGGGCTCCTTGGCTCCTGGGCTGGGACCAGCTTCAGCATTTAAGGACCAAACGTGTGTCCCCCCATGCCACCAGCCTTTTCTTGGTGGAATGGCATCTGTGGTAGCTGGTTTTGTTGTTTCTCAGGAGAATGGATGTGTGCAGCGTGCTTGTGGTGGTCACATTCCAGAGGAAAGGGAGCATCCCTTTCCTTCAGAGGTGCTGGGAGTAGGTACCTGCAGCCCCTGCAGCCAGGCTGGCAACAAATGCCTGGTCTCTTCTTGCAGCCCTGCAGGGAGCAGAGTTTGTTCGTGGTCTCATGTGGTGCTTTCTGTGGTTTTCTGTGCTTGAGTTTGTGCTTTTCTTGCTTTGTAGAATACTCTGAGCTTGTTTAAATGACAAGCCCTGTTGATCAGTTGGCTGTGGGAACTTTTGTGTGAAGAATCTTGCAGGATTTTGTAGAGAGCAGGGTGCCTTGTGCAGAACTGGTAAAGCAGCACACAGGGCTGTATAGCAGGGATATAATTATTCATATTACAACCTATAGACAGGAATAATGTTTTTTTTCACACAGTGAATACTCTCTGCCATATCTGTGGATGCAGCTTGCAGGGTAATTTCTACAGATCCTTATTGTTTTCATGCAGTTATTCACCAACTGTAGAAATTGTAGCCTTGGGTGAAGTGGGGCCTCCTATACAAATATACACGAAGAAATACTTCACCCTCCAAAGATCCTTTGTACTTATATGGCAGTAAATGCTTCCAAACCCTTTTCTCTGTGCAACAAAAGAGTGTTTTTCTCCAAGGATTTGCCCTTTCTGTGTTTCATAGCCTGTGCTGCCTTGATAACATATCCTGTGGTTTGCTGCATCTCAGACAATGATATATATAGGAAATATTCTTCCAGGGTAGGTCCAACATACCCCTTGTGCAGCCATGTCCAGCTCTTACTGAGGCCAGGGGCGGGTGGTTCACGTACAAGAGCTCTCCTTGGGCTTGGTGTTTGGATGTACCAGGGTTGTCTTTTTCTATTGTATTTTTTTTTTCCCTAGCTCACATGGCTCTTGAGAGTTTGCCCAGAGTCTGGCAGAGTCACTTAGATGACCCTGAGTGAAATGCACACACAAACACATGGTAAGGCACAGAGCCTCAGCAGAAACTGTGCTTGTGCAAAACATCTCTGCTGCTCTCTTTTTTTTTTTTTTTATTTTTTTTTGTGGCCCTTGTTAAGCTGTTAATGGAAGCCAGTGCAGAGCTGTGGCACTGGGAGCTGTCACTGATGTGTGAGCCGAGCGTGATGGGCAGAATTGATTCCATGTGTAGCTCTGCTAGGGAGAAGATGAGTTCTTGCAAAGTTAAGACTTTCCTGCTAACTTTTGTGCCGTGTTTTGGCCTTTGCTTACTGTTTTGGAGCTGCTGTGGTACCAGGAGAGTCACCAACCAGCTCTGCACCACTGACTGTGAGGTGTTCACAATCCAGCAGATGCATTTTCTGACCTCCTGAGTCAGACCTGGGTAATCCAGCAGCTGGGTAGGAACTCCAGAGGGCTGAAAAGCAGAGCAGTGTTTCAAATGGAGCATTAAACTGAACGTCAGGGAACAGTCAGACAAATATGATCCTGTGTTTTGGTTTCCTGAAGCAGGGATTTCACTGAATGTGGTGGATAGTCAAAAGGCAGCCTAAGAGGCTGAAAATTCTTCAGGAGAAACTCTTCTTCACTTGCAGTTGCAAGGTATTTCACAGTGTTTTCCTTCTGTTGTCATCAAAGTGGTTGCTATCAAGAGATGATCTTAACTCAGTTCAGCTTTTCTCTTGAAACAAGATTTAAAGGGAGATTCAAAGTGACTTTATAATAAAAGCTAGTTCAGGGTTATGTTCTTCATGTTTCATGTTTTTCTGCTGACTCTGCCATGTAAACAGCAGCGAAAAATAATGAAACTCTATGTTATTGGCACAAGCACGTTGGAAGGGATGCAGATGTTCTGGGGGAAGATTTGGCTATTTTTGCTTCTGCTGGGCAGAAAATGTCTTCGCTCCATGTCCCTGAAAAACCTCATGAAAAGTCAGTATTTTCATTTTATTTTTTTTTTCCCTCATAAACTTTTTCAGTGGAAATCCCCTTCCAGCCTTTTGGTGACCAGCATCTGCAAATGCTCGTCTGAGTGCCAGGAAACTTGGACTAAAATCCTTTTGAGTTCTCTATTTTGAGATAACTGCGGGTTGTTTTTATTTACTTCGAGGAACTACATGTTTCAGAACATTATCCACAAATTATTTAGGAGCCCTGTTTCAGAACTGCCATTTCAGTGGGAACCTTTGCCAAAAGCTTTATATTTTTCTTTTTTTTCCCCATGGTTTTCCATGGTGGCAAACCAGGCTGCTGAGTGAGCTGTGGCATCGTGTACCTGCCAGCCCTCTCCAGACCAGGAGTGTTGCAGGAACTGGGATGGATGAGACCTCATTTTGAGAAGAAGTGGAAAATTTAGCTGTGTGCATCATGCCAGCTGCTTTAGGGCTAGAAAATAGGCTCTGTCCTGCTTATTAGTGTAGAAGTGCCCTAAATTTGCCTTAAATCAAGGTATGGTAATTCATCCTCAGAGGAACAGCCTAGAGAGGATGGAATTTGTAGGGGTCCCATAAGAAGAAATGAAGGAGATTTAGTCCACCTGCTCACGTCTCCCCTTGACAGTCTGAGAGTGAGAAGTGTCCTGCAGGTTTCTCTCTTCCTCTTGATCCCTGTGTTTCTGCCAGGGCTCAGAGGAACACCGGCACATCTTGACGTCACGTCCCTCGTCCGGCTCCACGGCACCGTCATCCAGGGCTGGGCTCCCCGTGGCTGCAGCTGTGAGCTCAGGCAGCTGCCAGCAAACCCTCCCCAGCCCTGACTTTTAAGGGGCTTCTCTTCCCTTCTTGATGCTGATCAGTAGCGGATGAAGTTTTGGGAAGAGCAGGGGAAGGATGAAGCCAGGGAATGCGGAGGCGGAGGGAAGCCAAGCCTGGCACGGGGGAACTGGCTGTACGTGCAGCACCACGAGCTCTGCACATACTGCATGAAAGGCACTTATTAAATAAAAATAACAGAAGGGAACATGAAAGACCCCAGTGGGTGCCAGCAGTGACTGTGAGTCTCCGTGCTGTCCTGGTTCTCCCTCCTTGGGACGTGCCGTGCTCTGGTCTCAAATATGTGGCTTTGCATTAGTGTGTGTAACATGTGGAGCAGGAATCCCTGCCCAAAGCACCTTGCTCCAGAGGGTTACCCAAGGTCAGGTGCTCAAGCAGTGCCAATCTGCAGAGTTTCCCTGAGTTCAGGAATCCTGAACAGAGCTGCTGAGATCTGACCAGCAATGAATCTGACTTCACTCTAAAGAAGTGCCTCTCAGCCTGCCCCATCCCCACTGGAGCTGCCAGGTGATCCTGTACATCCCAGGACAATCTCCTGGGGGTCTCCTCTCCCTGCCTGGTGCTGCTGCTGTTTCTTGAGTGTTAGGTCAAGTGAGAAGAGCATCCATGATGTGTCAAACAGGCATGTCTGGGCTTGTGTCTGTTTCTTCCTCTGCCTCAGGATGGGTAAAGCAGCATTATCCAGTATATCCAATAAGCCTGGTGTTGCTCCCACTGTGAATTAAGTCTCCCACAGGGTACACAGTTGTTCTCTCTCTCTCTCTCTCTCACTCCTATTTTCTACTCCTCCAGCAGCACTGGCATTGCCTGAGGTTTTTTTAACATGACAGGATAGGGCTGGAACAAGGAATCAAATCTTGAGCTCTGGGGCTCTGCTCCCACCACCTCCTGTGTTCCTCCCAAGTCAATGGGCATGCCTGGATGCAAAGCAGCAGCAACCAGGGCTCCTGGAGGTGTGAAGCTGCATAAATTAATTTGGGCAGCACTTCTACCCAAACAACCTGGCTGAAAGGGATCTGGTTCAATCCAGCAGTTTCCAGGCGTGCAAAAGCCTAAGCATTTTGTTTAACTTCCTCACCTGCTGGGAAATAGCTGGTGTCTTATCCCCTTTTAAAGTTTTTTGGCAGGAAATGTGACTCTGGAAGGTCAAACACAACTAACCTACGGCTGGGAGTAGTTGTTACAGGCTAAGGCTTAATGCGAGATCGTGCAAAGCCCTCGCGCTTGTGATAAATCTCATTTAACTCCCTGGGTTCAAAATCAAACAGGGCTTGTACAGCTCTTTGTAATACCAGAGTCAAAGACTTTTCTGGGTAGTAAATGAATTGTTGGAGCAAGAGAACCCAGCAGTGCATGAGCAGACCCCCACCTGATCACAGCAGTAACAGAAACGCCCAGCAGAGCTAAGGTAAAGTGGTTACACCGCACCAAATCCTCTTGGCAGCTTTTCGGAGCAAGAGCCACCCAAAAGTCCTTGTGCTGCATTCCAGATTGGCATCTGCCAAGCGAAGGAGGGGATGCTGATGCAGTGATTTATCCAGGGTGCCCAAACTGCTCAGTGGTGAAACGTTTGTTTATTTATCTTCCAAGAGAGGATGCCGTACTTCCCAACTGGTTTTGTTTTTAGGGCTGGTGGAAAGCCAGTTCCTTATGAGCACTGAAACACTTGAGAGATTCTCTCCCCCTGATCTTGGCATCACTTCAGTTGGAGTTTTTTTCGCTGTGTTCTTATCCTGCAGGAAATCTGTGAAGGAGAAAATAGGAGAAGAAGAAAAAGAAGTAACTCAAAGCCATATGATTTTCATTTTTACAGTCCGAGAAGGAGTCTGAAGGAAGATGTATCATGGGACAGAAATATCTGTGGTTTTGGTATAAATCCAGCAAGCCTGATTTAGTGATCTTTAGTGCTGGTGTGACACTGTTAACATTAGCAGCTCCTGATGTGCATCTGCACTAGTAAAAGGTGGGGACTCGGATTCGCAGTGTTGATCACGCTGATGGATTTGTGCCAGGGATCCCTCTGGCACAGTAACTGTGATGCAGAACAGCAGCTGAAGAGGGAGAAGTTGTGATGATTGATCAGTGTTGACTTTTCATGATGGGATAGGCCCCTTCCCAGCACCTTTTCTCTTTGTGCTTAGCCTGGGCGTGTTGTAACCAAATGGTAGCAATGAACCCAAGAGTTGGCGAGAGCGCCGCAAAAGTGGATCTGAAGTGTAAGGAGACACGTTGTCCATGTGATTCCTAACTCCTCAAGGATGTGTGCTTTGCAGAAGTCTGCTTAAAAACAAGTTGTTGTGTTGCGTGAAGGCTCGTGTTGCACAACGTTGACCAGCTAAAGCTCCAGCACGGAGCAGCACGGATCTCTGTCAGCAATTCCTTGCCATGAGGTGATGACAGAGCAGGGATGGAGGGGAGTAACCACAGAGAGAAAGTGGAGCCAGGGCTGTGCATCTGGGCCAAGCAAGGGCTACAAGCCCTAAAACCTGAAAAGGCACAAGGAATCAGTTGGAGTGGATTTGGGGAATAAGGGGGAGGAATGGGTCATCTACATAAGGAAGCTGTGGAGTTCTTTCCCAGGTGAAAATGGAAGCTGGTTTTCCTTCCTCTTTAATTTTGTGTCGGGAAAGGGTAGAGGAGGGTGTTTGAGTGCAAATTGTTTTTGTGTATAAGAAGTGTTGAAGGGATGTTGCACGCAGTTCACCTGGGCTGTTTCCCAGCTTGCTGAACAAGGCAGTGACGTGCTCCAGGGAGGAAATGGCCCGGAGGTCAAAGAGGGGAGGTGGGTTTGGAGTTTGTGGTTTGCTTTGAGATTGACTGATCGTATCACAACAAAACTCTGGAGCCCTTTTCCTTTCTGGCATCGGCAGCGCCCCTGGACACAGCGCACATCTCTGAGCATCCAGGGTGGGCTGAAGTCAAGTCTTGCTACATGTTGTGTGGCCCCCGTGGCAACAAACTCTCCGTGTTGCAAAGGCTTTGCAGGGTGCCCATAAACAGTGTCACACCTCTAGGTCTTCCGTTCCCATCCACACAAGCTCAAACCCAGCGGCATCTCCGGGAGGTCTGTGATCACTGGAGCAGCAGCACCTCTGGAAGGGCTTGGGTTGGCAGGTCCCCCCTTTGACCTGTTCCTTTCCCGTGTCCCAGGCTCTCTGCACACCGGTCGGAGCTCTCCGCCCCCGGGCAGCGTTCCTGAGGAGCAGCAGCAGATCGCCCGCCAGGGATCCTACACCAGCATCAACAGCGAGGGCGAGTTCATCCCCGAGACCATGGACCAGAACGTGAGCGGGGCTGGGCCGTGTGGGTTAAGCTGGGAGAGCGCTGGGCGCGAGGGAGGCTGAGCTGTGGGAGCTGTTCCCACGGTTACATCCCCAGCGGGGGCCCATGCGTGGTACTCAGGCCAGCTTTTTCCAGGAATGGGTGCCCCCAGGCTTGACATGCCTGAGAAATGGCAGGCCCAGTTTCCAGGAACCCTGAAAGCCGGCTGCAGTGGGGACGGCAAATGTGCTCGGGCACGTCAGGTGGCTCTGGAGGAGCACAGATCTGGGGCACACGTGTGCACCAGCTGCCAGGCCATCGTGGCTGCAGATCCCGTGGACCATGAGGGAATGTACCAAGAAACCGATTGCCTGTGATTGCAACAGCCTGGGGATATCAGCAGCTCCTGCTGCTTCCCATGTGCGCTTTCTGCCTGAGCTCCAGTTACAGTTCTTGGCTCTGCCCACAGCCTCTCTCTGTGGTTTTGTGTCTCTGTTCCTCTCCCACAGATATATTTTTTTTAACTCTTTTAATAAGGAGTTTGTATGTTCCGGCCTCTCAGTATTAAAAGAGCAGCAAGCTCTTCAGTGATGAGCAGTGCCCCTTCCTCCAGTCAAATTGGTGCCCATGATGGGGAAAACTCTGCAGTGTTGAGAGACTGGAGGGAGAGACTCCATCCCTGCTCAAGATATAGCTATAGCTCTGAAGAGCTGTGGATCCTGTGAAGTCAGCTGGGAACATAAGTCATGCTTGCTGAGCTCTTGGAAGTGCAGGATCAAGATCCACAATTTGCAGGAGGGACGTGGAGGGACATCCAGAAGGCACTAAGCTCACTCTGTCAGGGTGCTGTGCTGGCCTGGGGAGACGTGCATTCCCTACACTCCAATAGCACCCTCTGGCCCCCACTTTTGTGTGCAGGCTGTGCCAGTGTTTCCATGGCAAAGCTTGTGTTTTCAACAATTTATTATACAGCCATTAATAAAATAAGAAGAAGTCACTCCGGGTGAGTCTTGGCAGCGTCAGAGTGCAGATGTATCGTGTGCTCCCTGCAGCCAGAAGTTGGCTCTCTGTTGTTTTCACATGCCTTCCAAACACGTTTGGGAGGATTAAGACAAAGTGTGTGCATGCAGGAGGAGGGTCCCCATGACCCCTTTTGGGTGTAAATCAGGGCAGCTCCTCCAGCTGTTCATGGAGCTCCATTAGTTCAGAGCCCTGAGCCTGCTCCCGATGAGGGTTCCCAGATGCTCTCCTTGCTTTTCCCCAGCATCACACTGTGGGTGGCTTGCAGCCCTTCTCTGGTGAACTGAACGCAGGAAAAAGGGAATTTGAGGGGTTTTTTTTTCCTTTTCTCATTGAGCAGCCATGCTTTTCCCTATATGGGCTCTGCCCTCAGAATGTCCTTGTACTGCAGCTTCCATATATGCCTTGCAGAAAACCACTTAGAAGCTGAAGCTTGGTACCCATTGGGGAATGCCCCTGTGCAAGCCTGTGATGTAACTGTGGTCCTGAGACCAGCCTGGCAGATGAACAGAGGCTGAGTATGGAGCATGCTCCAATTCCCAATTTTATGCTTTTGAGAAATTAGCCTGTTTCAGCATTAGCTGCTGGGAGAGACCTCCTGGCGTGGCTGGCAGAGGCAGGCAGTGGGTTTTAGGAGAGGTCTTCATCCTCTTTGGCTTGGCTAGTGCATTTTGAAGGGTGAGGGGTTTGGTTTAAAAACTGGGAAGCAGAGAAAAACTGCACTTTGCAGTTGGGCCCGTCCAGCCAAAAACACCGTGAGCTGTTATGACAACCAGGCGAGGAGGTCTTACAGGAACAGCACATGGAAAGAGAGGCTGTTGGGGAAGGGGGAGCGATGTGGGAACCAGCAGAGTGTGACTCCATGTGGCGTTTAGGCCTCGTTGCTCAGCTTTCCCAGGAGTGAGGTGGGCTGGCTGTGGAGCGGGGCTGAGCAGTGTGTGCAGCCAGGAGGGAGCGTGGTACCGCCTGCAGCACAGCGTGGCCCGGAGCAGGCTCTGCTCCATGTGGAAGTGCACACAGCCCCTGGGTTTACCACTCCGTACAAACCCTCTATTGTTACTAACCAGCTATAAATAACCCCGGCCAGCACAATGTCTCATCCAGGAAGCAACACAAATGCAGCTTTTGACTCACTGAGCTGGGGAGAGCCAAGCCGGTTCCTCCGGCCAAAAGCCCTGCTGATGCCGCGCTTATCAGCGGAGACGAAGGCTGGGCTCGTGTGCCAGGGCAGCTCGGGAAGTCAGGAGTCCAGGGCTGCAGTCCTGGCTGTGGTGCACGATATCCACTTGGCCTTGGGCACATCTCTTGTGTCCTGATACATATTTTCTTTTAGTATTGTTATTACACTTCGAACGCTCTGAATCTCGTTGACTCCTCCGTGTGCTTTGAACATCAGGGTGCTAATTATCTTTGCCTCAGTTTTCCTGCTGGCAAACGGCAGTCGGAAAGACCCAAAAATGCAGAGAGGGCATCATAAGTGGATTTCCACTGGGAAGAAAATTTTTTGTTAGGCTGAATCTCATCCCTATGGGACTGGCATCAGCTGGTGTAAATCAGCTGGCTTTGGAGCACCTTTGCTGACTATGCAGAGGTTCTGGAGATTAAAGAGCTGCAGTGCATGGTTTCAATGTTTCCCCTTTTCTTTCACTGTCAGATGCTTGAAGCTTTCATCAGCCCCGACGACTCGCTGTCTGGGAGCTGCCAGTCACTGGACAGATCTGTGGACAGGTGAGTTGAGCTTCTCACCATGTTCACCAGCTGAAATGCAGCCTCTGCTCCACAGCAGGAGAGAAGAGGAGTCAGTGGCATCCCCTGAGGTTTCTGCTGGGCTGAGGATGCACCTGAGCGAAACAAATTTATCTTTCAACGCTGAAAACCAGATCTTAGCACAGATGTCTGTGGGATGGTGTGATTTGAGTTGCAGTAATCTGAGACAGACAAAGACAGCCTGGCTTTATGTGCCCAGGTTTTCTCTTTTTTTGTCAGACTCCTCTCATGGAATAATGGAAAGCTTTGGGTTGGAAGGGACCTTAAAGATCATCTCGTTCCACCCCCTTGCCATGGGCAGGGACACCTTCCACTAGACCAGGTTGCTGCAAGCCCCATCCAACCTGGCCTTGAACAATTCCAGGGATGGGACATCCACAGCTTCTCTGGGCAACCTGTGCCAGGGCCTCCCCACCCCCACAGTACCTCCCACCCCTCTGGCTCTCTGCAGTCACCAGGTCAATACTCCACTAGCCTCTCCATGCCCCCTCCTCCCCGGGCACGCTGCCTGCTCTCCATTAACCACTGGTAAACTCAGCAGCCCCTGTGCACTGCCAGCAGCCACAGACGTGTCAGTCAAGGTGCTGAGGACACCAGACAGGCAATAACTAAGTTTAGCTTCTCAGCAGGAAGCAACTGGGACACGTTGTACTAACCCAGGCCGGGACTCAATGGCTGGTGCGGCTGCTCGGTCCCAGCTCACACGTGCACAGAAACTGTATGTTTGCTGCTGTGCATAAGACACAGTGTCCTTTTGGGAAGCAGTATATTATTTTTTTCCATCTGCATCAAAGATTTTCTATTTTTTTTTTTTTTTTCCGCTGTTGCTTTTGCCATGCAGCACCAGGGCTGTGTTCCAGCGGGTCTGTGTCGGGTTGATTGTGTGGCGTGCTTGGGGTTTGCTGCTCTGTGCGCTTTGGATCCGTCTCAGCATCAGGGTCCATTTCCTTTTTGTGGCTTTTAATAATTTCCTGTGATGTATTTGCTCATTGTTACGGCCGTATCGAAGCTGGATTCCTTGCGCTCCCGGCCTCTCTGCCCCCAAAAGCTTTGCTTTTGCACGGACCTTGCCGGGAAGAGCGGCAGAAGGAGCGCGGGCTGGTTGTAACTCTCGCGTTGGGAACTGAGAGAAGAGTTTTGGGAGCGTTTGTGAGAGGGTGGTGTGGCTTGATTTCCCGTGCAAAGCAGGCAGATGTGCTCAGTCATGGGGTCTAGGAGCTGGAGAAGGCACAGGAAGGGCTGTGTTATTCCAAGGCGGAAAGAGGAGTAAGACTGTTCCTGCAAAGACGTAGCTGAGCCCTCGCAGCCAGTGGCTTGGGATGGCATCAGCTGCAGAGAGCAGAGCGAGTCACCAGGCATGGTGGCCGGGCTGAGGCACAGCAAGTTCTTCTCTGCCACAGCAGTGATCGGCTTTTGACATGAGCAGGTTTCAGAGCACTTCACAAAGCTGATTTCTGCTCTGTGCCCGTATTGTTGAGAGCGGCAAAGAAACGTGTCCAGATCACCTTGTTGGCCCTCACAGAGCCTGGGGTGAAACTGGGATTGCTGAGGTCCCCTTGAAGTGCTTTGTCATCTCTCAGTGCACTTTAAAGACCTTGAGGCACCAACCCCACACTCTCTCTCCTGGGAGGATGTGTGTTCCCACTGGTGGTACAGACCCTCCTGTGTGAGGAGGGTGGGAGATGATGTTACAGAAAAGGGAAAACCTGCATGAATTGGGGGTGACTGAAGGACTCTGGTGTGTACATCTGCAGCAACTGAGCAATGCTCGTAGGAAGCAGAGTTGCACAGCTGAATACTCCATGCTGAGGGCAGAGAAATCTGCAGCCCTCCCATGCAGCCTCGTGCACAGGTGTTCTGATCTTTGGCTGCTTCTCTTCAGCCTGGTGACTGTGGTTTTTGCAGCATCTCTTCTGTTTGCCACGGGAACAAGCTGCGATATCCAGCAAAGAAAACCAATCTTCATTCTTGTGCAGGATGAGGATGGGGGCTCAGTGATCAGTGCAGCTTGTGATTTAGCCTGTCCTTTCTAGAGTCTATTAATTCCATAGCCTTTCTGATATAATAAATGTATCCTGCTTTCTTTTTTTTTTTTTTTTTTTTTTTTTTATCCCTTCGCAGCCCTCCCTTTACCCAAACCCCTGTTCCTGGAAGGAAGAGCCATCCCAAAGACAGCCTTGATTGCATGGGTAAGCACTCTTGGTGGTTTGTATTTGCTTAAAAGTATAATAAGTATGTAGTGAAGAGGCTGGATAAAGGCTATTAGGGAGATGGCACTGCATGGAAAGTAATTAAAAGCAATCAAGCAGACCAGCTCCACTGCTTAGGTTGCACTTCAGAATTGACCCTGCAGTGATCAAACATGAATGTTCTCCAAAATCAAAACAGCCAGAGCACCAAACACAGGCAGGGCTGCTCTTGTCTTCATTAACCCTTCTTGACTCTGCAGCAGTGCTGGTAGCACTGAAGAACCTTTGGACCTGATTTGGGTATCAATTTACAGCAACAGCAGTCCAAACTGGGCAGCAGGGGCCATGAAGCAGATGGATATAAGCAAGTAAAGTTTTCAGAGATCTATGTTGGAAGATGTTGCTGAGAGGGCCGTGCTCTTTTGTTTGGAGACAACTGTGAGGTGCTGACAAGCTGCAAACAGCCTTGTGGGATCACCCTTTGCCTCTGGTAGTACCTGGGAGTTGCCCCTTCAGGATATCCAATTCCTACAGAGCAAAACCCAGCTCTCCCTAGGCAGTTACACCTCTTCCACTTGCATGAACAATAACCTGCAACAGTGCAAATGCTGTTAGAGAAACTTACTGGTAACTTGCAGGGATCATAGGTTACTGCTTAATCACTTATAAACATCCAGCTGGTTAAATCATGGAAACTCTGCAATATTGTAATGACTTGCACTATTAAAAATGAGCAAATGGCAGCCAGCCTGTGGCAGGAGAACTCATTCCTGGCCCGAGGCAGGATTTCTAGATTGAACTGCAGAGATGAAGCTGCAGTCAGTCCACGTTGCAGAAGGTTTTTAATGCTCCCCCCGTGGCATTTTGCTCCGAGACGCCCCTGGGCAGCATCGCTCACACGTGGCTCCCCAAGAACCTCTTGCCCTGTCCTTGCTGCTTCTCCTGCTGACCATATTTCAGCCGTTATGTGCTCCTTTTGGCAATCAGGCTGAAGTGCAGCAGAGGCCAGGAACGGCCTCCAAGGAGCGGCTGCTGGCCCCAGGCTAAGACAAACAAACAATCAGAACGGGCTGTGTCATTAGAGCTGGATGGAGGAAAAACAGCAGGTGAAAGATGGGGGGGGGGGGGGAATGACAGATATTTTAATCTCAAGTTATTTGGTGCTACCAGCAATGGCTTCCTGTTCTGTGGCTTTTATTAAAAAAAAAAAAAAAAATGTCCTTATCTCACATGTCCATCCATCTCTCTCATCATCCCATTTCTAAACTCTGATGGTCTTTAATCCCTTCTGTATATTCTATCTTTCTAGCATTTAATCAAAGTAAATATAAAAGTTTGGAGCTCTGGAGGTATAAATTGGTCCCTGGCTTTCAGAGGTGAGGAGTCGCATCTGAGAAGGAAGAGGGGAGAGATTGTCCGGTGTTGGCACAAGTGCTGGATTTCTGCATTTCCCTGGAAATAACTGGCATCAGAGCAAAGGTTTTGGATAGATGGATCTAGGCCTGACCCTGCCTGGCAGCTCTGTTTCCACGCTGATTTTTGTGTTTTCCATGTGCAAATAAGGGGTTCAGTGCTCTGCCTTAGGAACTAGGCATGGTTTGTGTTAATCCTCTGCCTTGCACTTGAGCGGTGTGGGCCAGGGTCTGTAAAGTCAGCAGTTCAACCTCTGCTTTAGGAGCACCAAGAGCAGTGTGTCTAACCCCAGTTTTCCACCGAGGAGTGTGTGACTGTGGACCGGTTTCAGAGGGAGCCTTGGGGAATGAAGTGTGGTGTAAATGAACAGCTTGTCACCTCATCTTTCCCTGTAATTCAGTGTTTCCCATAAGAAGCGCTCTGGGCGTTGGATTCTGGGCTGATCTCAGAAACATGTGTGTCTTCTTTCCTCCTGTCAGATTTCGACATCCCGTTCTGCGAGAGGTTTGGGAAAGGCGGGACGTTCCCGAGGCAGTACCACCTCTCCCAGAGCCGCAAGGACTACAGTGACGGTAAGAAAAACACTAGATGGTCGGTCCAGGATCTTGATGGCTTTGTGACAGCGCTTAGGACTGGAAAGACCTGAGAAGGGGAGGTTTCTAATAAAGGGAGAACCACCAAGGAATTTGGGATTCACTTGTGTATTCCGAGGAGCATCCTTGCAGCTCTGCTCTTGGGAAGTGCTGAGCATCCGCTGCCTGTAGGAAAGTCAGTGCTCTGCTCCTCCCCTGCTCACACCTGCAGTTTTAACTTAGCCATGTGGATGATGGGCATTTCTCATCCCTGGCAACACCAACCTTTCAGTTTCCCTAAAATTGCTTGGTTTTGAGGATGCTGTTTTGTGACCTTTACAGCAGGTTTTCTCACAGAGCCGTAGGAAATCCCTGAGCAATTTCAGGGTAGCAGTTTCTGTTCTGTTCTCTGTTTTCAGCTGTTGAGTTCTGCACTTTGGGGACCACTCCATCACCTTTTCCCTGCTCTTTCCTTCACTGTGTGAGACTGCAAGTGGTGGGAGGTCAAACTGAATTAGAATCAAATTCCCTTGGGAAAAGAGTAGTGAGTACATGCAGAGAGCATATTGAGCCTTCCAGAATGAACTTCATCTCTCACTGACACCCCTGTGAAAGCAGGTCTGGCACTGCTCTATGGTCATTTGCATTGTGGACTTAGGGGATGGCAGGGATAATTTGCAATGTAAATCCCTGCCTGTTCAATGTTTAATTGTGATTAACAGCCAGCAAACCCCCTAATGTAATTAAACTGTTGCAAACCCCTCTGAAAGCATCTGCATTAGATGTAATTCCTGCTGTTATCAACGCTTAAATTGAATTTAAAATGTTTGCAGGGCTTTGCTTCAGTTTAATTACAGTTGTTTTGTTTAATTTGAAGAGGTGAAGATCTGGGCAGTGACGTGAGAAGGTGATGACAGGCGGGTCCAAGCTGGTGTGTGTGTGTGTTCTTGCTGTAACTTTCCCCCCTTTTCTCCTGCAGGTCGAAGGACTTTCCCCAGGAGTTACTTCCCGCAGGAAAACCTGTTCCAGCTCGTCCCCTCCAGCAGAACCAAGAGTTTTAACGGGGACAGCAAGCTCAGCACGCTGCAGTACGACGAGTACAGGCCCAAGTGCTGGAACAATTGTGAGAAGGGTCTGAAGGTCTTCAGCACCTCCCCTACAAAAGCCAGGAACTGTGAGTGAACCAAAGCCCCGAGTGCCTGAGATCTCAGCAGAGAATGATTTAATACAACACACTGTATCTCTTACCTTGGCCTCGATGGTGTCAGCTGGTGTTCAGCACTTGCTGCGTTGCAGAAAGTTGCTTGTGTGTTGGGCTGTCGGTGTGCTCGTGCAGCGGAAGCTTCAGGGAGACTTGGGTTGTGGGAGCAAATCCATCCAGAGACTCCACCCCTTGGATTACACTGCTGTCACCCCAGCACCCAGGCTCCTCTGCCACTGCAAGACTGCCCGTGCTGTAGAACTTGGGGCATCTGGAGCCTGTTCAGTGATAGATAACAAGCTAGGAATGACCAGTGAGATAAAAAATCTCCTTACCAGTCCCTGCCTGGGTTGCTGCTCAGCCTTGCTGTATCCTGCTAACCACTCCCAGAGCAGAGTTTTTGGAGGAAAGACTCCTAATGAGATAGGACTTTTTTGGGACTTGATACTATTTTATGCTAATGCAGACTGGGAGACATCCCCCCATGCCATTAGCACCAGCGTTAAAACTGGTTTGTCCTGGTGCCCCTGCGAGAGGGTGGCTCACTGACTGCCCTGCACACTGTCAGGTCAGGCGGAGGCTGAAGCCTCCCTGATGCACTCTTTGAACCTTCTTCTCTCTCGTGTAGCCCTGCAGGCACCTGTGAACTGGAGGCTGGGGAAGCTGCTGGGAAGAGGAGCTTTTGGGGAGGTTTATCTCTGCTACGACGCTGACACTGGGCGGGAGCTGTCGGTGAAGCAGGTGCCTTTTGATCCTGACAGCCAAGAGACAAGTAAAGTGAGTACAAGGGCAGGGCTGTGTTCTGCAGCACCTTGGGGAATGGGGGGCTGGGGGCTGGGGGTGGAGGTGCCTGTGTCCCTGATGGAAGGCGGTGTGTGGAGGCAGGGTGTTGTTTTCCCTGTCTGCAGTGGTCCTGGATGGCTTGTGGCACCAGTCAGGGTGCTCTGGTGACTTCTCTGCCTCCTTGGTCACACTGGCCTGCTCTGTCTCAGGCATCACCTCTTGCAGGTGTGGCTGCTCTTCCTTAGTTTTTTCCTTCTTGCTCCCCTTTACTTTCTTCCCTTTCTGGGCACTGCTTTGCTGGGGACTTCATTGACACCTTTCCAGAAAAACTCCTGGAACACAAGTAATAATAAGTAAACCTGTCTCAAAGCCAAGCCCTTGTGTATCCCATCTGTCTTCCTCCTTACCTTTCTCTCAGTTTCTCCTCATTTCTGAGCCTCTTGTGGCCGGTTTCTTCATGGGCAGCTTCACAGGGGCTGCAAAAGGTGTGCTCAGCATCGAGCAATATTTGGATAATATTCCCAAAGTTACCGTTCCCTTTCATCAGGAATCACGTCTGTTTTGTTACAGGAGGTGAATGCTTTAGAATGTGAGATCCAGCTGTTGAAGACTCTCCGTCACGACAGGATAGTGCAGTACTATGGGTGCCTGAGGGATCCTGAGGAGAAGAAGCTGTCTATCTTTGTTGAATACATGCCAGGGGTAAGTGTGGTTCCTGTCCTGAGTGGCAGAAAACAGATTGAGACTGTCCTGGAGTTTGGTGAGATTTGGATCTGGAGTCAAAACTATCCAGCTGAGCTGCTCTAAAGCTGATGAGCTAAACCAGAGCACTGGATGCATCCCTAAGGATCATTAGGATGCAAGTCAGATGTCATGGTGAAGCCCCTCAACGTGCACTGGGTGAAATGAAAAGCCTTGCAGGCAGGTTTTAGGTTTGAATCCTGGAGCAGGGTGTGTTCACAGTCTGGAATCTGCACTTGGTGAATTATGGGACGTGATCCAGGATCTGGCTTTAAACACTGTGGCCTGAGCCCACCCTTTAAGTATTTATTGCAAATCCCTGCAGGAAAAGCTAATAGTACAACTGTCCTCCCACAGCTGTCACCAATTATTTGTGGCTTTTCAGCACGTGTGTATTCAAAACAGTGTTACTCACTTGGAGTCTTCTGTTGAGGGCAGAGCTTTTTGTGGGGAGCGTTATCCCCCTGGCTTCAATTTGTGACTTTGCTGATACAGGATGAAACAACCCCAGGGAAAAAGAAGGCTAGAAAGCTTTGAGGGAGTCTAAGCAGGGCTGGAAAATGAACATGGATGAGTTGAACATCTCTTTTCTGTTTGTGAGTTACATCAGCCATTAGACAAAGTCATCGGTTGGTGTAAACCAGCATAACACTATTTACATTGCCGGAGGATCTGTTCTCCTAAGTCCCTCCTGTCCAGCTGGATTTGTTCCCCAGAGTGTGGGAGAATAAACCCTTGTTTATACAGATATTTGTAAGGTCAGAAGGGACAATTAAGTCATCTGGTTGCAAATAATTTCGGTCTTCAGTAAACGTGCTAGAAGCTCTCCTAACACATCTTGCGTGTGAGCAGTCAGGTGGACTTCCATGCGTTTGAGTCCCTCCCAAGCCATGTCCTCCCTCTCTCCCTGTGGGCAGACAATCTCATTTTCAGGTCTCACCACGAGGTGTGGACCCAGAGGAGTAAATCCCAGGAATTCCAGCAGTCCCCTTGCTGCTCGTTCCGCAGCGTGCCGATGTTTGTTAGCAGCCAGGAAACCAGCATTTGATGCTGGGGCAGCGTCCAGCAGGGCTGGAAGTTCAGTGTTTGTTTTTTTTAATGATAAACCCGAGCTCTGACCAAATACAGATTGACTTTGCTGCTGAAACAACAGTTCATTTCACAAAAGCAGCTCAGGGCTCTGGTTTCCAAGGCCAGTGGAAATGAGTGAGTTCCCAGACCTTGCAGGGCAGCAGCTTTGCAATCCTGGGTCTGGCCAAACTTCCAATTTAAGACAGACAGCTTGGCAAAATCTTCACGGGGGCCAAGCTTGGGTGCATCATCAGCCTGTTGTTCTTATGAACCCAGTTAATAGATGACTTTGTAGATTCTGTCCTGCCCATAAGCTATTTTTTTTTAATTTGTGCTTGGAAAACAGAATGACCACAGGCCTCAAAGAACCTTTGTCCCCTTCTTGTTTGATGTCCCCCTCTCAGGGTGAGGGAGGGCAGGATAAGAAAGCTTGTTTGGTTGTGGGTGAGTGAACATACCCTGCGTACAGGTCATGTGAGGGGGTCATTTTGAGCATTTTGGGTGGCCCCTGCACTGCTGTGAAAGGGAAAGGAGAGTCCCATCCACAGGATCACCACCAACCTCAAAAGAAGCCAAAACAGTAGCTGGGCAGAGCAACAGCAGAGTTGGGTGGATGTGGAAAAGCTGATACAGTTTGACAGACTGACTTGGAGTGGAGCATCCACTGTTCCCAGAACAGAAGGACTGGCAATCTTGGATCGACCCCAGAGCTGCAGGACAGGCAGAAACAGCATGAGTTTCCCCTCCTGCTTCCCAAGTAACCTGAGTACTGGAGGTAGAGCAGGGTGTGAACCCCAAATCCGCCTCTGGTTCATCCTGCTAAAGCCCAGCTCTGGCACAGTGAGACACATCCATTTCCAAGAGGACAGAAAATGCAGCTAAAGCCAAGGGGGTCAGCCTCTTGCAGATGATAATATCTGCACCCCTGCTTCCTTTCCTCTTTGATCAGTAAAATCAAACCAGTTTGAGAGATTCAATTAGTGTCTTCAACATGTGTCTTCATGTGAGTGGGTGATTGTCCCTTATGGCCGTGGGTGCTCCTTGCTGTGTGAAGTTTTGGGAAGAGGCTTCAGAGAGGACTGAGTTCTCTTGGCCCTGAAGAACTGAGTCTGTACAGCTACCTGAAAGGAGATTGTAGACAGGTGGGGGTCGGTCTTATCTCTTAGGTAACAAGTGATAGGACAAGGGGAAAAGATAGGTAAAGGGGAGATTTAGGTTGGATATTAGAAAAATTTCTTCACTGGAAGGGTGTTGAAGTGTTGGAACAGCCTGCCCAGGGAAGTAAGTGGTGGAGTCACCAACCCTGTAAGTGTTCAGAAAACACATGGCCTGGTGTTGAATGGCAGTGCTGGGTTAATGGTTGGACCCGATGATCTCAGAGGTCCTTTCCAACCATAATGGTTCTATGAATTTAATTAGTCGAGTTGATCTCCTCACTCTGAGTTGTAATTCCTCATCAGTTTGATCCATCCCCACGAGCTGGTGACACCCATCCAGCCACTAGAGGGGGAAAAAGGTCTGTAGTGTTGCCAGGAGGAAGCACCGACAGGCACCGGGAACTGAACCTTTTCTTCCTCTGGGATCTGGGACATGAGGACACATCTTTCCTCCGTTCAGCACCAAGTGCACTTTAATCTTGCTGTTTCTACACAGAATGGTTTGGGTGGTTTTTTTTGAGCTGGATGATAAAAATTTAAAAGGTTCCTGTGACATGATGGTTCTTACAGTGGGTGCATGTTGTTTCTTTCCAACAGGGCTCAATAAAGGACCAGCTAAAAGCTTACGGTGCTCTGACCGAGAACGTCACACGGAAGTACACCAGGCAGATCCTGCAGGGAGTCTTCTACCTACACAGCAATATGATTGTCCACAGGGACATTAAAGGTGAGTGGATAATACAGAGAGGCTTCCTGCTTGCCTGGGTTTGTTCACCCCAGCCTCCCCCGGCCCCAGTATAAATTCTTGTGCGCAGCATCGTGCTGGGATCTCATCTTTAAAGTATTTTTGCCCCTGCCCTTCACCAGCTTGAACCGGGAAAATCTTGAACACACAGCTGAAACCAAAATCTTGTGCTGTCTTCTCTCTTGAGGGATTATTGTTAACTGCCCTTGCACATGTGAAAACCTGGTGTAACACGCCCAGGAGCTGAGAGGATCTGGCTTTTGGAGAGGTCCTGCTGTCTGTGGGTGGGGAGGATGATCTGTTGGTTCCCATTCACTGCTCAATTTTGGGAAACGTGCTGAGTGAGAGGATGCTGGTGGGAGTCAGCCCCCTTGGAAAGCAGCTGCTTCAGGAGCAAAGGATTGTAAAATAGTGCCAAGTCCAGCCCCACCATGGGCTTTTGGGCCCCCTCATGCCTGGCTCTCTGCCCGTGCCCTTCCTGCTCTCCTCACTGCAGCCACTTCAGGTTGTTGCTTTCATCTCTTTGGGTTTTGTCTTTGCCTTTCACCCCAGGTGCCAATATCCTGAGAGATTCTGCTGGAAATGTGAAACTTGGAGATTTTGGAGCCAGCAAACGCATCCAGACCATCTGCATGTCTGGGACTGGGATTAAATCCGTCACGGGAACCCCGTACTGGATGAGCCCTGAGGTTATCAGTGGAGAGGGCTACGGAAGGAAAGCTGATGTGTGGTAAGGGATGCAGTGGAAACCCCACCACTGCTACTTAAGTCAAGCAATTCCTTTGGGGAAGTTGTAATGGGAGCAGCAGGTGTAGCTGGGAGTTGGAAGCAGTGCAAAGGATGGAAATAGGAGATGCCTGTTAGGATCAGCTATGTGGATGTCCAGAGGGAGCATGTTGTGGCTGAAGATCCCAGAACAGGAGCAGTCAGAATCAGAGCTTGCTTTTGGAAGCTCTTGTTGTGTGTGAGGATCATGTTCAGCTTAGTCCCATAACTGCTCTTAATTCTGGAAAGCAGAACTTTGATAACAAAGTTCACTAAAAGAGCTGTTGAGTTTTGGCAGCCCTGATTTTAGGTTTGCTAGGCTGAGCTCAGAGGCTCAGGGGATCCACGAGGCCTTTCAAACTCTGCTCCTGGATGTTTGCATGTGGCTCAGGCATGAAGGCAACAAAAACTGTTGGCTGTTTGTGAGTGTTTTGATTTGTGAAGGTTGTCAGATGGAACCTGAAAGTGTTGAGATAACACTACTAGTCCTCCCAATAAAGGAAAAGGAAGCCTTCAGTGTGCTTTCCATTGTGTGTCCAAGCAAGTAGGGTCAGCAAAAACTAGTCCTTCCAAGAGAACCCTGTTTGGTGGGGGAAACCTAGGGAGGCCTTAGCAGTCAGCCACGTACCCTGCACCACCTGCCCTGGCTGATGGAAGGGAAATGGGGTTTAATTTTTTAGGATCAACTATGAATGGAGGTGGCAGAGTGTCCCTGCTGAGACAAGGACTCCTCAGCACACAGAGGGAAACCTCTCAGGCTCTTTGCTGCTCATCTGATGTGTTCCTTTTCAGATACACCTCAGAGATTAGGTTGGATGTGGGCAACTATGTTTCATTCTGGCTCAGCATCCTGGGGAGCTGCTGAAACTGTGGTGTCTGAACCCCTGCCTGGCCTTCCCTTCAGGGGATGCCCTCTTAAGATCTCTCACACAGTTTTATGAAACTCAGTATCTGCTGGTTAACCCAGGCAGAAAAATCCACCAGCTTTAGGGAAGGGCTGGTGAGTTCTCTCCTGCTGTTGGGAGTGGAAACCCCAGTGCCAAGCGTGGCCAGGGAGCTCTGGGAGGGGTGTGCTCGCCTTGTGCGCGTTTGCCTCGCACACAGTCCATTCAGGCAGGTGATCAGACCCCACCTGTAGGGCCACCCCCCCACCCACCTCCCCTCTCCCGCTGCCTCACCCCTGTGCTTGGCGCTGTTGCAGGAGCGTGGCCTGCACCGTGGTGGAGATGTTAACGGAGAAGCCGCCCTGGGCAGAGTTCGAGGCCATGGCGGCAATTTTCAAGATCGCCACCCAGCCGACCAACCCCCAGCTCCCCGACAGCGTCTCCAGCTGCTGCCGCAACTTCCTCAAGCAGATCTTCGTGGAGGAGAAGCGGAGGCCGACGGCCGAGGACCTGCTGAGGCACCCCTTCGTCAACTGCGGGCTCTGAGCCCCCCGGCAGCGGGGTTGGGAAGCGCCGGCGGGACGGGGGCGGCCGCTGGACCCGCGGTCAGACCCCTGCCCGGGGCTGTCCTGGCAGTGGCCCCCGCAGGTCCCTTCTCGCTCGTCGCTGCCTCGGCACCCGCCGCGCTGTTGGATTTTTCGAGCTGCGTTCGGGACTGCTGGCGCCGGGAACTCGGAGCGAGGGATTTCCCGGACTGTGCGGGTGCTGGCCTGGGACCGCGCAACCTCCTCGCCGCCAGCGGTACCGGGGCCGTCCCCCCTCGCCGTGTGACTGATCTCTTGGGGAAAGCGCAGCAAATGGGGTCTGTCCTGCCCCCCTTCCCCCAGCACAACGGCGGTGCTGGCAGCACCCCCGGGAGCGGGGGGAGGAATCGGATGCTCAGTGGCCATCACTGCCTTTCGCAGAGGAACAGAGACAGGGCCTTCAGCCGAGCCGGAGGAGATGATCCTCAGACCGCAGGGTCGGGGGGACCCGGGTGTCCCCATTCCCAAGGGGACCGGCCCCACTGGAGCTCGTGGGACCAGCCGGTGGCTCCAGGGGGGCGGCGTTTCAATCTGTCCTGTGCCTTACGCGGTTACAATCAAGGAGTGATGCTCGACTCGGAGTCGGGTGTGATGATGCAGCAGCCGTGTTGACTTTGCCTTTGTGTGCGTGTGTGTGTGTGTGTGTGTGTGAGTCTGGGAAGAGGGGGGTCCTCTCGGGGTGCAGGAGGTCTCTGCTGGGTACACCCACGGACGGATGCCCGGGACCCCTGCCCCGGACTGAGGGATGTTTAAATGATGTCGGGGTTTAAACGCTGTCGATGCTGGCAGGGCTGAGCACCAGCCAGATCACGCTGGGAACCATCAGGATTCAGGTGGGAGCTGAAGGGAATCTCAGTGAGGATGGCTCTGCTCATAGCCACAGCTCTGCTGATCCATGCCCATGCTTGCTATGCTGGGGCTGGGGGGGAGGATGCCAACATGTTTTGGAAGTGGAGCTGTAGGAAGAGCCCAGGGGGCTCTTTGTAAAATCCAAGTGCCTGAAATTAGGCAGAGAGGCCCAGTGCATGTGGATCTGGGTGCCTCCTCCTTCATTCCTTCTGGGACCATCCCCAGGTACAGGGAAGGGGGATGTCATGTCCTTGGTGGTGCCCGAGGGAGCAGCTGCAGGATCATGGAGTCTCAGACCAGGGGAGTGGATCTGCGGTGGTCGAGGGGAGCTGGAAACAGATTCCTTCCCACAGTAGATTTGTAGGAGAAAACGGACCAGTTGAAAGCAGAGCTGGGCTGTGGCCTCTGACCAGCACTACCCTGCTGGAAAATCTGGGCAGGGAGCATACACAGAGTCCTCGGAAGGTAAATAAATAATTCATCAGATCTTGGTTGTTTTGGATAAATTAATTGCACCATCCCACCTCCCCCTTCCCTGCTGGGTTAGCTACTTCCACCCGGCTCAGCAAAGGGTTAAATAAGCAGGTACTGGGAAGTTCCATCCTCAGGCCAGCACCAGTCACAGGTTTATTTTAACACTAGCCTTCACTGAAAATTAAAAGTGTTGCTTAGACTTAAGAAGAAAGTGAGAAATTGGTTGTTTGTGTGAATACATCCTTGAATTCTTCTGTGTGGAAGAGATCAAGGCTTTGCAGTGCTGCTGTGGCGGTGGGAGCATTTCTGCCTCCTTAGCTCTGAAAAGAGAAGCAAAGTTTAAGAGGTTGTTGCCCAGAGAAGCTGTGGATGTCCCATCCCTGGAATTGTTAAGGCCAGTTTGGATGGGGCTTGGAGCAACCTGGTCTAGTGGAATGTGTCCCTGCCCATGGCAAGAGGCTTGGAACAAGATGATCCTTAAGATCCTTTCCAGCCCAAACCATTCAATGATTTATTTTATGATTCTAAGGTTTATTTCAGTTTTAAAATAATAAAACTTTGTGAGTGTTAGAGCAAGTTAAAAGAAATGGCTAAAATAATTCCCTGTAAGTTTGCCTGGAAGCTGCAGAGGATGGTTATTGCCCAGGCTGAGATCTGGGGAAGCTGTGGGGGCAGTGATGGAGCAGCACCGGGGGTTTGTGTCAGTCGACCATGGCAGGGATGATGGGCAGCTTTCCTTGAAGGGGTAAAGTCACTTCTTGCCAAGGGGGAATGAACGACTTTATTCTGTGAATAGGACCAAATCCATCAGTCTGGTCAGTAATATGGAATGGCTGGAAACAAATACAAGTTTAAAAAAAATCGGTGTCAGCTGGGAAGGGGCTTGGCAGCAGAGAGCAACAAAGTACGTGTTCACCAAAGTTTAAAAAAAAAAAAAAAAAAACAACAAATCAAAACCATTTTTAAGCTGTTTTCTCCTCTTTCATTGAATCTGTTTGGTTTGGGTTGTTCTCAGTCCTTCAGTGGTGGGTGGGTGTTTTCCTTCTTTCCAAAGCCAAAACACTCCCGGGGCCCTCAAACCACCCAAAAGTCCCGTGGATGGATGTGACTGATGGGGATGTGTGTGTGTGTGTGTGTGTGTGTGAGACACTCCTCAGGTGCCTTTGCCTCTCTGGTTTGTAAAACCCTTGCAGTGTTCTGATGTACAGAATGGAACCAGGAAAAGCGAATGGAATATCCTGCCATGTAAAAATCATTTTCTGTTGGTTTGGTTTGGTTTGATTTTACTTTGCCTGTGGAAGGCCCTGCGGCTTTCCCTGTGAGCTGCATCCATGGAGGAATTACTTCCTCGTGGGGAGGGAGGCTGGAGCGGGATATTGGAACAGGCTGCCCAGGGAAGTGGTGGAATCAACACCCCTGGAAGTGCTCAAAAGGCGTGTGGGTGTGGCACTTGGGGACGTGGTTTAGAGTTGAACATGGTTGGGCTCTGATGATCTTAGAGGTCTTTTTCCAACCTTAATGATTCCGCAATCCCTTGTTTCCATTGCCCCCTGTCACCAGTACAGCCCCTTCCCAGCAGGGCGGTTCCCAGCACGGGCAGGGACACAAAGGACACCTGGTGTGACCATCCCAGGGCATCAACAGGGCCAGGGCTGACAAGGAGCTGATGATTCCCAGGGTTCTCCAGAACTGATGGATCTGTGCAGTTCTCAGACCAGATGGCTCTGAGTGTCCCTTTGTCCTGACATCCTGCCTTGTATCCCAAACACATAGGCTTTTATCTTTTTAAATGTAATATAATTTTCATTTATTTATTTTTATTTCAAAATCTCATTTTTTCTTTATTTCTATTTCTTCTTCATTTCCCCCTCTTTTTCCCTCTTTTTCTTTCTTTTCCTTTTTTCCTTTTTTTCTTTTCTCCTGCTTTTTTCCTTTTTATCCTTTTTCCTGCTTTTTCCTTTATTTTTGCCATCTTTTTTCTATTTTATCTTTACTTCTTTTTTCCCTTTTTATTTTTCCTTTTCCCCCCATTTATTCTCCTTTATTTCTGCTTTTCCTCTTTTTTCCCTTTTTCTCCTTTTTCCCTGCTTTTTCCTATTTTCTTTTTTCCCGCTTCTTTCTTTTTTCTTTTTCTCGTTTCCCTTTTTTCTGCTTTTCTCCTATTTTCCTTTTTTCTTCTTTTCACCTTTTTATAATTTTTACCCTCTTTTTTTCCCTATTATCCTTTATTCCTCCTTATTTTCCTTTTTCCTAACTTTACTCCTTTTTTCCTTTTTTTCCCGCTTTTTTTCTTTTTTCCCATTTTTTCCGCTTTATTTCTTTTTTCCCCCCCTTTTTTTCCACCGTTTTATATTTATAATTTTGTTTATTTTTCTTTATCAACCCCATTCCTTTAATTCAAACTTCCCGATTTACCCCAAGCCCTATTTAGGGTCAGCCTTGCGGCTTCGCTGGGCTCGGGGTCGCCGTTGGGGCGGGGCCATGCAAATTAGGGGAGATTACGACCAATCCTGGCCCCGACATGTAAATTAAGGGGGCGTTGACATGCAAACGAGGAGGGCTGTGGAGTTGCAGCATCAATATGTAAATAGGGGCGGTGCCATGCAAATGAGCCGCGGGCAGTGAGAAGATGGCGGCGGCTGCGGCGCGGCGGGCGCAGCTGGTGCTGGGGCACCTCTCGGGGGCCGCCCCGGGCCCCGCGGCCGCCCCGAGGGCTGTGCCCTGTGCCGGGGGCCCCCCGCGGGCCGCCAGCCCCGACGACGTGGTGGTGGTGCACGGCCGCAGGACCGCCATCGGCCGCGCCAAGCGCGGCGGCTTCAAGGTACGGATGGGAGGGGTCCTGCCCGCCTGTTCCCCCCTCGCCCCTCAGAGGATCGCTGGGATCCCTTCCTCGCGTACCTGGGTGCTGGAGGCCCAGGAGCTGCTCTACTCTGATAAAGTGTAAAAAGCAAAAAAAAAAGAACATTTTGCGATGGTTTTAGTGCTCGGGGTGGGTGGTCCAGGTGTGGCAGGGCCGGAGGATCCCCCAGAAGAGCCGGGCAGTGTCCCCAGGGATCCCCTGGGACCAGCCACAGTCTCCCCTGTCACCTGCCCTGGCACGCGGAGCATCCCCTTGGAAAAGCAGGGAGTCCCTCACTCCCTCGGACCTGCCACCCTTCTGGAACCCGCAGCCACGGAGCCCTCGGCGAGAACGTGGTGCCAGGATGGCCCCGAAGGACCCACGTTCCTTGTTATCCCTCAGGACGGGTCTGGCGGTGCTTCCCGCCAGCTGAGGGGACACACAATAAATTATTTCACAAAATAAGTCGAGGGGCTCCGTTTGCTGAGTCTTGCCATGTAACTCACTGCAGTTGTTTGGTTTTGAAGGCCCAATGCAGTGGGTTCCTGTAAAAACAGAGGTGAGGTGAGAAAGCAGAGAGTGTGTCCAATTGCTTGAAAGGTACTTGGGGCGAAGACAGAGTAACTCTGTTGCGGCAGGAAAACAACCACCAGTGTGAGCTGAGAAGTGGAGTAAAGCTGCCTTAGCCCACACATCAGCCCTCGGGGGTGGCCTGGGGGTGAACCGGTGGCAGGGCTGTGACTGGTGTTTGCTGGTGGCACTGATCCCCTGTGCTCTCAGGACACCACACCCGACGAGCTGCTGGCTGCCGTGATGAGAGCTGTCCTGCAGGATGTCAACCTCCGTCCTGAGGCCCTGGGAGACATCTGCGTGGGTGAGTGAGTACCTTCTGGCCTGGGAGGCTCAGTGGGACATGCTGCTCCTGGTGTCCCGTGGGATACTCATGGGCTGGGCGGGGTTAGTGTGCAGTGTTAGGTTTGGGAAGGCAGTGTCCTGATTTCACGCCTGTCCTGTCGGTGGTGGGGGGATCTGGGTGCTGGGTGGTGCTGAGCCAGGGGTGATAGGAACATCCCTTTGATGCCTGCGAGGGGAACGCAACCCACTGACTGGAATTGTATCTTTGCACTCAGGGAACGTGCTGCAGCCTGGAGCTGGTGCCTTGATTGCAAGAGTTGCACAGTTTCTGAGGTAAACTCCCAACCAGGCTGAGGTTCTCCCTCTCCTCCCTGGGCCTTGGCTGTGGAGCAGGGATCGAAGGTTGTGATGGGGCTTATGTGCTCCCAGGAATTACAGCAATCCACCTTTTGCCTAGAAACTGGACTTTGGTCGAGTGTTTGGAGAACACTGATGGCAAAGGGACAGAGAGGCAGAGGTGAGGCTGTTTAATCTGCCTCTGAATGGGAGATCTTGTTCTGTGGGCTCCCAGCTGCACCTGCT